TGCATGATTGAAGCAAGTGCATATGACTTTGTTGGCGCTGGATTGTCGTCCGTCTGGAATCTCTTTCCGCCCTCCTTTGCTCCGTTTCTCTTTCTTGGTTTTGTTGCCATTGAATGCGTTCTGTTTGCAACTGCGTCTTTTATTTGGTGTTCTATTTCCTCAACACACTTATGTTTGGTTTTCTTGATTTGTAATAACATCTGGGAAATTCCCACACAATGCCGTGATATACACGCTGTTGTTTTAAATAGTGATTCGCATCCCAAAACTGCAAGACACGACACACGACGTGTCGCCATTTGGCTGTTATTTTTGGTTTCTATTTATATTATTATAAATATCTTGGCTTCTGATACTTTGTGTTTTTAATTAATATCCACTAACAATTGAATAAATATATCTTACTCATTTAAAATCAGTTACAGATGAATATAGAGTCAACCTTTTATTGTAATCTGGTGGACAAAAAATAGCTTTAATTTTGTCTAAAAATCGGGCATTAGGTCAAGCGTGAATAAACCCGAAACAATTGAGATGGGTTCATGGGACGGCTTCCCAAAATATTCCAATCTTTATGGTCTAAAATATACCAGATAACTTTTAAGACTAGATAAAGTTTAAAGACTGACTGTAGTTAAAAATTATAATAAATGTTTCGATTTTTTTTTTCATTGAAAAAAATGATTAAAATTGTAATTTTTGAGAATAAAATTGTTAATAGAGTCAAATTTTAAACAGTGGGCGGGTATTGTAAATTTTGTTTTTCCAGGAGAAAGCATTTTAGAGTGAAATTATAAATTTCATTTTTATTGTTGAGTTTATGAAATACGAATTGTCAAAAATGTTAGTTTTTATATTTAAAAATTTTTCTTCTCAGAAATTTGAATGTATCATATGTAATATTTATGATATTGATTAATTTTTAACATCATAGTAGTGATACTGAAAATATTTGAAATAAAGTGTTTAGTCATACTAAGGCAGATATGTTTTAGTTGATAATAAAACAAAATACCAAAAAATTAATTATTCATTTTTAAGTGAATAACATTTTTGCAGTTTTTAAAACAATCCTCTCCAATAAAACCGACTGTGGGTGGAACAACAATTTCCAGTGCAGTGCAATTTTTAAAGCAATTTTCTTTAAGTGACAAGATATTACTTGTTATTTGTAGCGTTTTTAAACTTCCGCACTTTTCAAAAGCACCTGTTCCAATTTTAGAAACACTATAAGGAATCACAACATTTTCCAAATTACTACATGAATAAAAACACATTTTTCGAATTTTATTAAGTCTTTTTGGAAGGGAAATAGCACTCAAATGTGAACACGCACTAAAACAGTATTTTCCTATTTGAGTAACAGTACTTGGAATATTTATTGTTATAAGTTTTTCACAACAGCAAAATGCAAACTCTTCTAATTCTTTGACTTGTCCTCCAAGGTAAACAGAAGTCAAACCACTACAACTCAAAAAGGCGTCTTTTCCAATAAAAGAAATGCAGTTTGGTATTTCAACTGTTTTTAAGGAAAGGCACAGATCAAAACAGAATTCGCCAACCGACACAATTTGAGACGGAAATTTGACACTTGAAAGTTTGTTGCAATAGCTAAAGCAATTACTTGGAATAATCGAAAGAGAATTTGGAAGACTTATTGAGTTCAAATTAATGCAATAAGAAAAACAGTGTTCTCCCAACAAACTGAGTGTCTGTGGGATGTCCACTAACTCAAGGGAACTACACGAACAAAATCCAGACGTTTTAATTTCTTTTAAGTACCGAGGAAGTATAATTAGCTTAAAAGAACAACATTGATAAAAACACTCATTTTTGATAGACGTGACTGAATTTGGAATGTTGATATCCGAGAAGTTTGAATTCTTAAAACATATTCTGTCAAGACTTTTAATGGTGTGTGGGATGACATCGCCATACAATTTTCTGTCTCGAATTGTGTATGTTATGTTTTTATAACTAATGTTGGAAATCAAGTGCTTTTGTGTGGTTGTGTAATCTTGGCTACACCAAACATTAATTCGATAGAAGTCGGTCTTACAATGTGAAGTTGGTATTTCATCACCAAAAAGAGAATTTCCAAAAGTCTCGTCTTTTTGGCGCCAAAGGTTAAGAGTCTCTATATTTGGAAAGTATTTTATTGTCTTCTTGTCTATTGGAATTGGGTTGAAATGAAACTTTGTCATATTGTTTTTATAGTTTTTGCATACAAATTCTAAGTTAATGAAGTCTCTAATTGTTGTGAAGTATTGTGACACTATCATGATGTGATACGCATCAATTTTTACCATTGAATTATTTATTCTTCTTGTAAATGAAAATATTATTAATCGTGGCTGTGATGTTTCAAACAAATTGTTGTTAAAAAATAATAATTTAATTATATTTTTTTATTATAAAAAACTTATTTCACTAATAATAATTTAACTATAGTCAAAGGCGTCTAATTGTCGTAAATCCACCAGAAAAACGTATCGATTTGTCTCAAATGAGTGAATTTTGTAGAAAATTTTTTAACATTGAAATTTATTTTTAAAAAAAAATTGGTTTTTAATTCAAAAAAAGTCATAGATTCGAGAACAAAATATTTAATTGTCGTACACCCAAATAATTGGCCGGTTGTGCGAGAATTAAGCAAGTTCGACAATTATAATTACAACAAATATACACCTTTCATTGTATAATATTTGACCAATTTAAATATACATAAAGTCAGTCTGGAAACCTTATTTATTTATTTTCCTTTGAAAAAAAAGCATTTTTGGGATGTTTAATAAATATTACTATTATTTAAACTATTTTCCAATAACACAACCAAAAACATAAATGGTGTTAAAGTCATTTAGCCAATCATTTCATTTTTTCTGTTTGTCAATAAATGGTGATATTAATGTTGTTATTTACCAAAAAGAACGGGAAAATACCGTAAACAAACTGAGTTTTTTGGATCATTTTTTGAAAATTTGGCTTTTAGGCGGGAGTATTTATCAACATTTTTAAGAAACTTTTTCGGAGAGCAAAATGACGTCCACGCAGCCAGAACTATTTCGAAGAACGGCTTTTACTCGACTGCTAACTGCATTTCGATGTTTGAGTCTGCCAATCGTGGTGTTCTTTTCAATTATGATTTGTCTCGTTGTTTTTTATTTTTATTTGATGAAATAGAAGTTGGTTGTTGTCAAATTCTCATGTTGTATGTATCATTTTACACAAAAAAGATTTGCCCAATTATTTTTACAACAACAGCACCATTTTTGTTGTTATACACGATGTTTTAGCGTAAAAAATCATAATTGGTCAATTTGTTTAAGTTCGTTTTGATTGAAAAAACAAAGATTTCAAACGGGACTGTCCTTTCCCACCACCACCTTTACCAAAATAAAATATTTGCCGCGAGTGTTTTTTGAAGGGAGTCCACTTTTCAGCTACTGTTTGTGCGTCCCCATGTCACCCACTTTCCTTGTCCGTACTGTGTGGACGCGGATGTGGTTCCCCCCGCTTGCAGGGGGGTCAGGGTGGATCCGCGCCAAGTGAGGACTTGGAAAGTGGGTGAAACGGTGCACAAACAGACTGTTTGAGTGTGCCTTCAGAGCCTTCTTTTCAATGCTCCGTCTCACTCGGTTTCCACTAACTCGAGGTGAATTTTCGGCATTTCTTGAATTCGGGAACCAGACCTAATATTATCCAAAACGCCCATTTACTATAATTATAAAATTATAAAATATAGTAAATAATTTCTATATTTAGACGGGGTGAGGGTGGGAAAAGCCTGCCCCATTTCAAACGAAAAAAAAATAAAATTTAAAAACAAAACCAAATAACAAAAAAATAATTTATTTTTGTCGATAAATAAGGTTTTTGGAATAAATAAGGTTTCCAGACTGACTTTATATATAATTTAATTACAATAATTTTACTATATTTATTTTTAAATAAAATAATTCAACGAATGATAATTGTAATATAAATTACATTTAATGGTGTTTGACATTTTTGATATTAAAACCAATTAAAGCGAATTTAAAAATATGCGAACTTATAATTCTAAATTAAATAAATAAAAAATAATGAAATCAAGTGCTGTTATAACCAAATCTGAGCGTTTTGACGAGACTGTTACAAATTATATTGTTTTTGAAACTGCCTCTTAGATGATACTAAGTTATGGGTACATTGAAATATTGATTAGACATGCTACTTTGAGAATGGAAACAAATAAAACCAAGTAATATGCCATATCCTGCTTCCACAAATAACAAACGAC